TCTGGGTGCTGTCAGAGGCCAGGAGAGCGGCCCGGGGGTGCCCCCACGGCACACGCCGCCGCCCATCACTGACCTGTGGACTGGAAGACGCCGGGGTTGCACAGGCAGTAGCGGGACGCGAACGCCTCCATCATGCGGTCGATCTTCTGGGCCTCCCCGGGGAGCCGGAAGCTCCACAGGAACTGCCTGGGGAGAAATGAGACCAGAACGGCTGTCAGGGTCCAGTCTAGGCCCCCCCACTGGCCAGGCGGACCTGCCGCGTGGGGTTGGGGGGGCAGCGCCCTCTGGGCCTCAGTGCCTACAGCGCCTTCACAGTGCAGGGCTCCCCCCCTGGGCGGGACAGGATGGACGGGTAGGGAGGACAGCAGAGCCCGAGGACCCACCGAGCTGCCTGGGTTCCGGCCTCACCACCCACTGACACCTGCCCCAGTCAAGACCCTGAGGCTCTGACCAGAGGCTGAGCGGCCACGAGAAACGGCGTCCCAGCCGCAGGGTCTGCGCCCCCAGACCCGCCCCGACGCTCCTGGCCGGCACCTCCCTACCAGGCAGTTTTCCGAAACAGAAACTCGGAATCTGCTGCAGCATCCCACGGGATCCAGCACAGGGCGCCACACCCCAGCCCGCACCGGAGGGCCGCCTGCACTTTAATGTTAAACGCCCCTGCGCCTGCCCCCTCCCTGGGGCGAGTGCTCCCAGCACAGGAGCAGCGTCTGGACCAGGACGCAGTGACCCAGGGCCTCCCAACCACACCCGCTCCTCCCGGGCAGCAGCTGCTGACACCCACCTTAAGGCCTGGACAAGGTTGAGATCAGCGAACTCGTGGAGCTCGACAAAAGCCTGGAGCACTTTAATGTTAAACTCGTCCCTGGAGGGAGGGAGAGAGGAGGCGCTTTGTGGCCCCTGCAGACCATGCCCATCATTTTAAGACAAGGTCTTGTGGTTCCCACTTCCTGCGACGAAGAGTTAAGATCTCCTGTTTGCAGGCTTGATGCAGAGGGGAGTCGGTAGGGGACTGACTGCGTCGCAGCTGCCAGAGGGAGGGTGGCAGACGGTCATCTGACCCGAAGGTGTGCTGGGCAGAAGGCACGTCCCGGGAACCGGGAGGCCGGCACCCACAGCGCTGCTGTCAGGGCTGGGGGCTCAGGGGGAAGCACCCCGAGGGGCAGGCCCTGAGGGGTGGCCAGGTTGGTGGCGCAGCCCCCTACTCACCGCTCCCCCAGGTAGTCCCCGATGACCGTCTTGTTCAGGCCCTCGCCCTTGTACAGGAACTGCGCCACGTCCTCCGGGGCGCCCTGCAGCAGGCCGTTCTCCATCAGAAACTGGATGCCCTGAGGAGTGGGAGGGGAGGCAGTGACCGGCCGGACACAGCGAAAGTAACAAGGGCCCCGGCGGGGCTCAGGTGGCTGCAGCCCGAGTTCCCGGTTTGTCCTGGAGCTGCCCAGGGGCCGGCCGAGGGGCAGGGGACGCAGGTGGGTGCGCAGCAGCAGGCCTGTGCTGTTCCTCCTCCGTGATGCGCCCCGAGGGCAGGGCCTGGCTCATTGGCCTCGTGCCCGATTCCCCCACCCAGCCCTCTGCCGAGGACACGCGCCAGCCATCACCACCCTCCGAGCCAGAGGACTGGACACTCCCCAGCGAGCGCCCTGCAGCCTGCACAGGCCACTGCGTCCAGGGAGCCACGTGACCACCAGCGAGTGGTGGAGCTGACGAACGCTGACTCTTTCAGAGCCTTGGCGAAGGGGGAGGCAGAGCCAGCCCGCGGAGCCACTGCCGCAGCCCGGGCGCCGCGAGACCGCCCTTCCCACGACACGCGCCTGCGGGCACACAGCAGGCTGGGCTCCGGGAC